AGGGGGTTGGGGAGTTGATGTCTTGTGATGGTGAAGATGCAACATAGTGTTCAGAGGGGGTTCCAGGGCTACTGTCTCAGCTTGTCCGGTGGCTTCTCGGCTTCTCGGTTTCTCGGCTTGTCCGGTGGCTTCTCGGCTTCTCGGCTTCTCGGCTTCTCGGCTTCTCAGCTTCTCGGCTTCTCGGCTTGCCCGGCGGCTTCTCGGCTTCGCGGCTTCTCGGCTTCTCGGCTTCTCGGCTTGCCCGGCGGCTCCTCGGCTTCTCGGCTTCTCGGCTTGTCCGGTGGCTTCTCGGCTTCTCGGCTTCTCGGCTTCTCGGCTTGTGCCGGGCTTCTCGGCTTCTCGGCTTGTGCCGGGCTTCTCGGCTTCTCGGCTTCTCGGCTTCTCGGCTTGTGTCGTACTTCGCGGCTTCTCGGCTTCTCGGCTTCTCGGCTTCTCGGCTTGTGTCGGGCTTCTCGGCTTCTCGGCTTCTCGGCTTCTGGTCGCATTTCTGGGCCCCTTTTGCCCGTGCTTTGGAAAAGCACGTAGGTGCACCCAGCAGAACCATGGGCTCAAGACCTTAGCCACACGCTGGCCACTCATACTCAGATCATCTTCTGGAGAAAGTTCCGCCGGAAGAGAGAATGGAGGCACAGCTTCAAGTAAACAGATCTTCGCAAAGTCATCATCCGATGGTGACTCTGGTAGGGTCAGTGCGATTTCAGGCGGATGTGTCCAAGAGTATGCCGATGTGACCTCCTTCAATCCAACTTGAAAGCCAGGGTGTCCTTCGACAGAAGACATAGGCTGATCTTGGCCGGTGGGGATTTCAAAGCCGGCCGGTGTCTCAGGACTAGGCTCGGAAACGCCATTCCCGGCGGCCGTAAGACCAAGCACAATGGGGCAATAAAAGGACTTGTCGGGAGAGTCACATGTCGACTCGAAGGCCTGTTCCAGTCCATCCTGAATTGATCTGATCCGAAGAAATCTGGGCTCAAAGTCGAGCACTGCTTTGTCATCGCCAGGTTGAAAGTTGACCGCGGTGGTGCACTCCGGGGTCAAAGCATGTGCAGGCATTGCATCGACGCCAGCAGGGCTTGGAACGACGTCAGCAGAACACCGAGTGCCATGGCTCGATCGCGTGCTCTGAGAGTTCGAACCTCTGAACAGCCAAACAAAAACCATGCGAGACCTGAGCAAAGGCAGGACCAGCAGACAGACCTGACTCAGCCATGGCAAAATCCTCATGGTGAGCAGTCAGCTCAACGGGACCTGAAAAAGTTGAACCATATGGTGAGGATACCGGAAGGGCCAAAGAGGGGCCACGCTCAACTTCCATGACCTGAACACCATCGGAGCGTGATGGCCAAGACGAGAATGAAGTATAAAAACCGTGGCCTAACCGCAAGGAATCCATGTACCCAACCAGGGGTACAGGGACAGCCAAAGATCACCTGACCGCAGAATCAGAAAGGATTCTCATAGGGAAGTCTTCATCCCTCCTACTTGCAAGCGCCTGCCACCAGACCCGAAGGGCGCCAACGGAGCACAACCCACTGAACAACCGCAAAGCACGGGCAAATTCAGTGGGGAAAGTCAACGAGTCCGGAAACCCACTCATTTTCCATCAGAAGGAACTGAAACGACCCAGGGGAACAGAACAGAGAGAATGGGGCCACAGAGGGACCAAAGACACACTTCTCGAACTCTCAGAGCAGTCCCGCCTACCCACGCGGAGGGGGTTCGAGCCAAGGCTAACCCTTCTTCAACATACTTTTCACCCATTTACTTTTCACCCAGAGACTCTTCTTGCACATACTTTTCACCCATATACTTTTTACACAGAGACTCTTCACCCAGAAACTCTTCTTGCACATACTTTTCACCAATATACTTTTCACCCAGAGACTCTTCACCCAGAAACTCTTCTTGCACATACTTTTCACCCATATACTTTTCACCCAGAGACTCTTCACCCAGAAACTCTTCTTGCACATATTTTTCACCCATATACTTTTCACCCAGAGACCCTTCACCCAGAAAGTCTTCTTGCACATACTTTTCACCAATATACTTTTCACCCATATACTTTTCATCCAAAGACTCTTCATCCAGAAACTCTTCTTGTACATACTTTTCACCCATATACTTTTCACCCAGAAACTCTTCTTGCGCAGACTCTTCACCCAGAGACTCTTCACCCAGAAACTCTTCTTGCACAGACATTTCACCCATATACTTTTCACCCGAAAACTCTTCTTGCACATACTTTTCACCCATATACTTTTCACCCATAGACTCTTCACAAAGAAACTCTTCTTGCACATACTTTTCACCCATATACTTTTCACCCAGAGACTCTTCACCCAGAGACTCTTCACCCAGAAACTCTTCACCCAGAAACTC